GCCTAATCTAAGGGAAAAGGGGATTACCTCCACGCCCCAAATGGGGGCTTAAATCCACAACCTCCACTATGAAGGTTAAAAAGCATGTTAGTGTGGCACAAGACTATGGTAATACAGTATGTCTAGATCACAAAAAGAAAAATAAAACAACTGAGAGCTTTCTACAGGTAAAATCAAAGAAGTTGACGTTTCTGATTGAGACTACATTCATTTATGAAACTAGCTCAGTTTGGTCGCATAAAAGTCAGATTAATTTCACCACTTCTATCTACCGAACTAGTCTTATTTGATCCAAATAATTGAACCTAAGCTTTTGTTTGGCTAATTTGGTTGGGTTAAAAAAAATACAAAAAATAAAATATACTAAATAAGTTAATAAGACAAAATGTCACATCTAAATCATAATCATTTTACTTTTTCTTTCACAAAATTCAAAAAAATCAAAAAAACCAAACCAAATGATCTTTTTAACCTAAAACTAAAAAAGTCTCAACTCAAAAAAAAATAATTAAAAAAACCAATGCCAAACAATGATTAAGAATTGTATCTTCCTCGAAAAATCCTTTATTTCCAAGCCCCTCCACTAGGTTGGGCAAGCTAAGATGGCTCTACAGTAAAATTTTAAATTATTGAAAGAATAAGAACAATTGATACAAAAAGACACGATAAAAAATTTTGGGGACCCTGCATTTTTTGGTGGGACCACTAAATTCCTCGCACAAAAATAAATTTGTGGGGGCACAAAATTTTAATATAGTAGACAAAATAATTGCTTGTCTTCTTAAGTTGAATTATTCAAAATAGGCAAATAAATTAGGACGAAAGAAATAATAATTATGTGCAAGTTGTAGAGAGAAAATTTTCATAATGGATTTGGTTTCTCTCAAATTGTTATTTCAACTTGAGAGAGCATTTGAGTTTGACAGACTCATTTTGGAATCAATTTCGGTAATTCGAACCATTAATTTTTTTTTTGATTCGTTAAGTAAAATATTCATGTAAAAAATCAAGATAATTAAATATCGGTAACAATATGTTTAAATCATATTTGTTTTTTTAAAAAATAAACGATAAGTATAAATTTAACAATAACTATCCATTTTTTATAATACAAATTTAATTCAAACATATAAGTACCATTGTCCGATCACTTTGATTTTTTGCATGAATATTATACTTAACGAGTCTTAAAATATGAACTATTTAAATTGTCAAAACGAAATATGTGGTGGACTCTACAAGCCTCTCAAGACCTCTCAAGTTAAGATGTGAATATGAGAGAAACTTAACCCTTCCATAATAGCTTGGACCCTATTTGGCAAGTTGAATTTGGGCTAAAATAGTCAATAATTCAAAACACCTGATCAAACCATTCTATCTACTTTTTTTTATACATCTTTCAAAAAAAGAAAAAATAAATAAATAAATTAAAAATCAATTAAAATAACATATTCCCAAATACCTCCTTCATGACACATGCCTCAAGAACGTCTAACTTCAAAAATACCAAACATTGAGTCTCCAAATTTTCATAATTTATTTTATTTTATTTTTTTGAACTTTTCCCAAAATTTTCATATTGATATATTGTGATGCTGTCTGCTAGTTATGTTCGCCGCCGATAATGGTCAATATTGTCAGGGCCACAACACAATCACTATTTCTTGCAGCAGCTGCTGCTGCTGCTGCTGCTGCAGGGTTTTAAATAGACAAAGGAAAAGCATTTCACTTTTTATTTTTTATTATTTATTTTTTATTTAGGTCTTAATATGTGATCGTATTATTTAATAAGTCTAATAAAAGTTAATAGTATTTTTCATTAAATACTATTAAAAAAGTCATTATTTATTAATTTTTAGAAATAGTTTAAAAAATTTATTATAAAAAATGTTACAAAAAATGTTACTAATTTTTAACTTTGAGTAATAGTTTGAAAAGAAAAGTCATAGCAAAACGTCACTAATTGTAAGTTTTAGAGACAAATTATAAAAAATCGTGACAAAAAATCAGTAATTATCAATTTTTAGCGACATATGTAAAAAATCGTTATAAAAAATTATTTTTGGTGATGATTTTACTAAGATTATTTTCAATATGATTTGATGGGAATTAAGTCCAATTGTTAAGACTTATTGGTAGGTTACCAATTTTTTTATGCCGAGTGTTTGGTTATGGAATTTCTGAAAGGGTTGTACTTTTCTCATGTTGGCAATCTCAACTTGAGTGAGTGTTTGAGTTTGGTAGGTCCATTTTGAGATTGACTTCAGTGATCTGAACCGTTCACTTTTTAGGACTTGTTGGGTAGAATATTCATACAAATACATTATAAGAAATTGCACTTTTGGAGACTAAATTTTTAGTTGCCAAATGTCAAATTTTAGTCGCCAAAAAGATTTCCCGACTAAATAGTTTGGTCGTCGGCTTGGTCGTGAGAAGATTGTCGGGGAAGATATTGGCGACTAAAAAATATTTAGTCACCAAAAGTCCTAAATTGGCGACTAAAAAATTAGTAGCCAAAAGGAAAGGTATTGGCGACCAATTTTTTTTCAATTGCCAAAAGTTTGCAATTGGCGACTAAAAATTTAGTTGCCAATAAATGTGCTTTTTTTTTTTAGCGACTAAAATATTTAGTCACTAAAAACGTCACAATCCTTTTTTGCTACCAACTTTTTAGTCGCTAAAATAGTTTGGTCGTCGGCTTGGTCGTGAGAAGATTGTCGGGGAAGATATTGGCGACTAAAAAATATTTAGTCACCAAAAGTCCTAAATTGGCGACTAAAAAATTAGTAGCCAAAAGGAAAGGTATTGGCGACCAATTTTTTTTCAGTTGCCAAAAGTTTACAATTGGCGACTAAAAATTTAGTTGCCAATAAATGTGCTTTTTTTTTTTAGCGACTAAAATATTTAGTCACTAAAAACGTCGCAATCCTTTTTGGCTACCAACTTTTTAGTCGCTAAAATTATAATGCTCCTTTTCGGCTACTAATTTTTTAGTCACCAAAAACTTTTATTTTTTTTGGCTACTTACTATTTAGTCAACAACAAGTTCCCTTCTTATTTTTTGGCTACTAAATATTTAGTCACTAAAGCTACTAAATATTTAGTCGCCAAAAGCTCTATTTATTAATTTTTTTAAAACGCATAAATTGAATATTTTTCATTAATTTCTAAATTATATGCATTCCATTATCAATGCAACTTATAACCTGTACATATATAGAACAATACATCTATTAATTATCATCTAAATCTATTATCAATAATACTCATTTTATTATCAATTATCAAAAAACTTTAACTTGTAACATCATATTCCAAATATCATATAAATCCACACCAACTAAGTATAATCCATCTAAATTAAATATTACATACAAAAACATTGGATTTTCAAAAAAATTGACATTTCAAATTATAACAATTATAGAAAGAAAACTGAATATAATCCATCTGTTGGAATGAGTTATTGGCAATGGGATTTGAGAAATTTTTAGCAATTGTAGTTTCTTATGTACTATCTGTTGTAGTATCAAATGTCTGTTCACTAGAAGATACTGGTATGGGAATGAAAAACCACCACTAGCAAGTTTGATGGATGGATGGAATTGAAGGTGACTGGAATAAGTTTGTTTGATTCCCAGCCCCTTTGTTGAAAGTGTTAATAACATACCATCAAAACATTGCATAAAAAAATGTTAATAACTTTGATAATTAACAGGAACTAATTTTTTGTTTTGAAAAAACATGCAAGGCCCACAGATTGAGAACCCTATGGAGTTATGCAGCCCACTCTGCCATCAATCCTACCCACCCAAAATGGAAGGAAACATATCCTAGGCATTTTTCTCTTCTCAACAAATAACCCGTCAAACATGATGAAAATTTCATTCGGTTCACAATTTTGCCAAACTAACATGCACAATAAGAACCTTTCTGAAACAATCTACTTCTCAACAACCAAAAAACTACACAACCTACTTTGCAACAACCAAAAAACTATATAGTTCATAATTGGCCAAAGACTAAACTAACATATAAATCCTAGGCCAAGTAAAAAAAATGGCTGGCCTGATTTCAGAGTTTTGTGACAGGCCCCTAAGAATATAGTTGATAATTGGCCAAAAAGACAATATTACCAAATCTTATTATAAATGACCTAATCAAATTATCCATGCATGTCTTTGAATGGGATGTTTACCGTGTATCTTGAAGTTTTGAACATCGTAAGATAATAATAGGCAGCTGGCTACCAAAAAGGCCAACAACTTGTTGAAATCTATAGGCGAGAGAAATCACACGATGGTCAACATTGATTTATAAAAACTACTAGCTCTCCTCAACTTTGAGAGGGTTTTCAAAGCTTACAAAACTAGATCACAGGTGTAGGTGAGATAATAATTTAATTTTATGACCAACTAATACCACTAATTCACAAAACAATTGTAACTTTTATTTATTGGGAACCATTTAAATACATGTTCATCACTAATTGAGATGAAAATTACGCACCAAAAATAAATAAATAAATTGATATGAAATGGAGCTACACATACAGAATTATAGATGTTCTTGTGAATGATGAGTTGAAAAGGACATGTACACCAGACTACCTAATGCAATAGAAAAGGATAAGAGTCAAGCTAAGTATACAAGTCGGGACAACACAAAGGGATCTGTGTTCTTCAGGTGGTTACTGTTGCTGGAAATGGTTATAAAATTCTGGAGCTACACATACAGAATTATAGATGTTCTTGTGAATGATGAGTTGAAAAGGACATGTACACCAGACTACCTAATGCAATAGAAAAGGATAAGAGTCAAGCTAAGTATACAAGTCGGGACAACACAAAGGGATCTGTGTTCTTCAGGTGGTTACTGTCACACCCCAAACTCGCCCCTAAAAGTTTGGGCATGACCTATTCGGAACCGGACACTTAACCTGATACACATAACATATGGGGCCTGAACGAAAGCATTGAAGATTATAGAATAACATAAAATCATATCCATTGAGCTATCACTACTATGCCAGGATCGCAAACATCACAACAGGAAAATAGAATACAGAAACATGCATCGGAGTATCGGTTATATACATACATATATACAGATCCAGTCCCGAGATTAGGCGTATAACAAAACATTATTGACATCTTAACCTTAAACAGGCAATTAGAATACAACCCAAAACTTGACAAAAGTTCACAAAAATGGGACAGCTCCACCTAAGTGCCTGGACACACTGAGGTTGACAAAAAATAGATGAGCCTCAGGAGTTAAGATTGGCTCCCGGGTTGACTACCTACAGAAATAGACAAGATACCGAGTGAGCAAAGCTCAATAAATAATAGTACTTACACAGTTCCATGTGCAATTAAAATCATAATACATAACCATGTGTATGTAACTACAGAGTTCATAAGGTTAGTCCAATGCTGTATTACTTTCAGAACGGCCTTAGGCTCGGATATAACAGAACGGGCATCGGCCCAGAAATAATAGAACGACCATTGGCCCAGAAATAACAGAACGGCCATCGGCCCAGAAAGATCCATGTATACACAAATTCTTTCAATGTTTACATTCACATCAATTCCCAACCAATATACATATAATGTAGTAACTTACGGAAATAGAACGTTAATAGCGATAAGCGTTAACGGTAAATGAATGTATATCCATTGCACTATTACTCACAGTGTTGTGGCGGGACGCTACTTCCTCCCGGAGTGTGCCCTGCACACATAGAGCTCACAATTTAGTTCAAATTCTTCTTCAATTCACATTTCAGTCGTTAATTTCCGGTAAATTAAGAAGCACTTTAAAAAGTTCAAATATTAATTTCAACCATCCCAGAGGGTCAAACAGGTCAAATGGAGCAATCCATGTTTTTGAACTTGGGCCGCACGTGCGGCTGTGGGCCCCACACATGCGGCAAATACTCCCGCACGTGCGGCAGTGATGCCCCGCACGTGCTTTTTAGACAGTGTTCAACACCCAAAATTGCACCAATTCCCGCATGTGCGGCGTTGACTCCCGCACGTGCGGCGATTCTGCAAAATTCAGTCCGAAATTCATACAAAAATCCAATTTTTTTGGTGGCATCAACAAGGTCCAAAATAGATCCTTTAATTCCTAAAACAAGATTCATATACAAAGGTCTTACAAACACATATCAAATCAATTCTTTAGCTCCTTGCATTTCATGAGCACAACATAAGCATGTAGAATCTCTACAATATTGCTTCCACATACAATAAGATCATCTAAGTCCATAATTGAGAATGATCATGTACAGATAAGGGATAGGATGAAATTTAACTCCAAATTAATCTAACAACAACACATCTTCTCAATTTAATCAGTACACCTCCCATATGAAAGAAAATTCTACGCATACTCAAGAAATTCCTATCCAAGACAAGAGAGGAGGTAATTAAGGTACAACCTATATAAAATTTACATACCTTGAGTTTTAAGTCTCTCAAATTCTCAACCTCCTTTGATAATCTTCTTCACCCTACCTCTAAAACCCCTCTCTAACCCAATCCTTTCCCTCAGGAGATATTTAAAATGAAGCTTCCTAGTCAAAGTGTTTAAGGAGCATGGTACATAGATCTTTATAAAATGTGAATACGACGAAAATCAATCGTTTAATCATCCCAAATTGAAATTTCACCGAAATGCCTATTATTACCTACAAATTATGCTGATCTCAAATATAAAATCAATTTTGGATGATCTCAAATATAAAATCAATTTTGGATTATCAAGCCTCTAAGGCTCTCACTTTCTGATTCGAACACTTTAATTGTGACAGATACTTCCTTATCAAACAGAGATGAACCAATATTCATACGTCTTACTTAATTAAACCTCATTTCACACGACATTTCACAGTAAGCAATTAAGTGCACAGAATAAAGGACCGAAAATATACCCGAAACAGATATGAGGGTCGGGTTATTACAGTTATAGAGAATTATTATGACAGCACATTGAGCATCTTGTGCATACATTTAGGCACCAGAAATGAAATTATCATGTGATGCCAATACACAATGTAATGAAATACTTTTTGCGATGACAACACCTTTTTCATACTCAATAATTTAATATTGAAACATGAGAAGATAATTGGGGTAAAAGTCTTGGAGTCTAAAGTTTCATGCGCAATCTTTAATTCACATGTATCTGACTAAGGTACTTTTAAAATGCATTAAAGGATCCAGAAAGAATCAATAAATCCACTTTATTGACATGAATATCAAAAGGTATTCACCAGTTCATGAACTCCATTCCCCTAGCTGCAAGTTCTTCTTTGTCTCTCTTATATTGGCTTTCCATAATAAATCATCGTCACTTTCTATCTAACAAAGTCAAAAGGTATTATGAATGTAATAGGACCATGCTTGAATATGTTTACTTGATAGTAATGATAACATTGTAGACAAATGTTTAGTACCACTTTAAATAAGCATTACTAATATCAAAATACTTGTCAGTGAAAAGTCCACCATTGGAAAAAAGCATTGATAGTCACTGATGTTTCTTCTCCTATCACAAGGATGAACACCCTGGAAAATTATTTTAACCAGGTTATAAATCTTTTTTTCATTTTTTTTGAGTAAAAAAAAGCACACCAGATATGACATGCTAAGATTAGCAAGAGTTTTAGAAGCTTCAGTTTTGACCTTATAGAATTAATAAATATGGACACCGAACTACCACTATAGCAAGAAAAATCAGGGGTTTCTAAAAATTACCCAATTGAAGGCTAAGCAATATATTCAAATTGTGAGTTTACATATTATAAACCCAACATAGTATGCTACTTGTTTTCTACAACAACTCTTAATGTTCTATTATTGTGACAGCAATAAGTGTCAAGAAGAACACATCTGTTAATAATTTAGAATACCTTTTATCCAACGGTTATGTTATATAGAATGAATATTCTTTCATATTTTTTTACAAGATACACATAATATTAGTAAGTATTTATCCTTTACTTTCCATTTTCGATGATGTCAATTTGTCAAATTTTGTATTCAGTCAGCTTTTTGGTTATATTAGCAAAATACAGATGTAATTACTTTGGTATGGGTGCAAACTAAACAACAAGTAAAGTGAAGTTTACTTGACATGGAATGCTAGTGAATTGTTAAACAAAAGTATACTTTCATTTAACATCAATAGAATGGTAAGACGAATTGTTAAACAAAAGTATACTTTCACTTAAACATCAATAGAATGGTAAGACAACTACATAATAATACATTTTGTTTATGATGCGCACCAATAAACAAGATTGCAAAGAAAATTTGGTACTTTAATGCACATTACGTAAAATTGTGAACATGATATAATTATCACCAACATGTGGTTGTTAACCACTTCCAAACTCTCCTGTTTAGGTAACAAAATTTCTTTTTCCCTATTAAACTTCAGAATTTCTTTTTTTTCTCCTAAATCTTAGGAAAGAAAAAACAATAGATCATCCTATTGTTTCTATTCACAATCAATAACCTATATGACTTTACCATTCTTGTTTACCTTATTAACATAATTTAAATCAATAACAACCACTCAATCAATCTCAACCAAGTAATCTGCATTCTATTATACTACGTCCAAATTCAATTCCAATTATGAAAAAACAGGGAATTAATATGCACATGTGTATATGCAATTGTGCATACAAATATATATACATATGTTATATATATATATATATTGAGAGAGAGAGAGAGAGAGAGAGAGAGAGAGAGAGAAATCACCATCCAGGCAAAAGATTGTTGATGTCTTGACGCCGTAGATCTAGACCCGCTGACCCAGCAAGATGTACTATATATTTATGCGTATTGATTAATTGAAGCACTTCTATACTACTATTTCTAACATATCTAACACCACTCATCTGTTATTGCAACTCAAAGAGCAACATTAATTTATAATAAAACTTATTTGAAATCAAGAAAAATTCAAATCCCAAACCCATTTGAAATCAAGAACATTTGCCATCTGTTTGACAGTTTTTTTAAGGTGAAAAAGTTTGACCCAAAAGAATTTTGCAATCTTTTCACAAAAATATAAATGAATAAAAATGCTTGCTGGTATGTGCATAGAAAATACTGAAAAGAGAAGACCATATAAACAACAACTCAGAGGAAATTTATATAATGGTCTCCAAAATCAGAAATTCATACAAATAAAAATCAAATATTACATTCAGATTTACCAAAAGGAACCCAATACACAGGGCAAAATTTATGAAAGAAATGACTAATTAAGAGGAAACAAAATGAAATACAAAAGAGTGGATAGGGTTTTAGGGATTTCAAGCCATACCTCTTCAATGAGATCTCTTTCGAACAAATAAGCTATTGGAAAAATAGAGATCTTCAAGAAGCCTTCGAAAGCAAGAGACGAGAGTGAGAGATGATAAAGAGCAAGAGAACGGATAGAGAAATCACAGATAGAGAGAAAGGGAGAGGAAGAAACCATAGATTCAGAGCAAGGGGGAAAATTTTTGGGGTTTTTAGAACCATACCTCTTCGATCCTTGCACAGCCTGTGACTTTGATCTCCATTCGTGGAAGACTAGACGAGAGAGAGAGAGAGAGAGAGAGAGAGAGAGAGAGAGAGAGAGAGAGAGAGAGAACCTGTGATCTGCAGTAGTGGCGGTGGCGATCAGCAGCGGTGGCGATGGTCTGTGGTCACATGAAGTGGGGTGAGGTTTGGTGTGGTGAAGGAGAACAAACAGAGAACAGGGGCTGGTGTTAACCAAATATATATATATATATTACACAATTGCTGACTAAACATTTTTAGTCGTCGGTTAATTTTATAAATCCCTTCTAAATTTGAAATTCTCCCTCCAAATATTTTAATTTTTGGGCGACAAAAATATATTGTCGCTGAAAAAATGTTTTTGGTGACCAAATTTTTGGTCACCAAAGATAAAAAAAAAATTTTATTTTACATTTGGGGACTAAATAGTTTTGGTAGCCAAAACTCAAAATACGACGACTAAAATATTTTTTTTGTCGCTGGAAATATGTTTTTGGCGACCAAAGAGATAAAAAATAATTTTTTATTTTATATTCGGCGACTAAATAGTTTTGGAAGCCAAAACTCAATATACGGTGACTAACATATTTTTTTGTCGCTGAAAATATGTTTTTGGCGACAAAAGATAAAAAATAATTTTTTATTTTACATTCGGCGACTAAATGGTTTTAGTCGCCAAAAATATTTTTTTTGGCGACTAAAATATTTTTTTTTGTCGCCAATTCTGGTATTTTTAGCGACTAAATTTTGTTTTAGTCGCCAATAATCAATATATCCCGATTAAAAAAAATTAGTAACTAAATATTATACTTTTGTCGACTAAAAAAAATTTTGGTTGCAAATTCTACAACTTTTGGCGACTAAATTTTTTTTAGTCACCAATTTTGGCCGCTAAAGGTGCATTTTGTTGTAGTGATAATCAAGATGATCAGATATTGATAGTTATATGTTTGAATCAAATTTGTATTAAAAAAAATGAATGGCTATTCTTGAAATTATATTTGTCGTATTTTTTTAAAACAAATATGATTCAAACATATAGTTACTGATGTCCAATCATCTTGATTTTTTTCATGAATATTCCACTCAATAAGTTCTAAAAAGTGAACAGTTCAGATTACTGATATCGATTCTAAAACGAGCCTACTAACACTTCAACATATAAAATATTTGGCGACCAATTATTTTGGTCCCTAAAAGTGCATCCAGAAAAGTCAAAATCGACTTTTACCCACGAATTTTCAAAAGTGTTGCTGAAAATGAAAATTAGCAACAAAATTTATATAGTCACAAAATATTTGATTTTGAAAAACTAAACATTTGGTTACTAATACTTCATCACAAAATCTCCCAATTTGGTTGCAAAATATAAAATAATGACATTTTTAACCATAATTAGATTTGGTTGTTAAAAGACAAATGACTTTCTCTATCACACATTTTCGTCGCTAAAAGTCAAAGTTGAGAATTTTCTAAACATTTAATTTCATAGCAAAAAATACACAAAAATTAAATGTCATCCAATCATATAAAAAGAGGAAATAAAAATGACATTCACACATCGAAGGCACTCTATTCCCAAACCATAAGTATATAGAAAGTAAAATTCTACAAAAATTAAAGCTCAAAGTTTCTAAATTCCAAATTCAAATCAAAGCAGTTCTTATTCTCCAATTTCAAATGAAGAATAGCAACAATTTCTTTAAAAGAGAATCTCTCATAATGCATCTTTCTCATCTTTTTTTTTGTTCTTTCTCCTTCGCATCCCGTTCAACTATCTCTGGCTTATTGAATGATGCCATACCTTAACAACAATAAATTCCAAATGTTAAAGGAATTAGATTATAGAATAACTAGGAATTAGATTAAAGATGAACAAAACTGAAAGAATTGAGTTAACACTAGATGAAACAGACAGAATGAACAATAAATACAAAGAGACAGCACCATACCTTGATTTCCAGTTATCCAATGTGTCATCATTCATTTGCTATTAGGCTAATCCAAACTAGAAGTAGGTACACATAAAATTAAAATGCAAAAACAAAAAATCCCAGTATCACATATACGGATGTAAGTACTAAAATCAATGTCTACTCCCATAGTGCATCATTATCACTATGCATTCCAAGGATTAACAATTCCCTATATTCTGAATTTGATTAAGGGCAAACACTCTCTCAAGTTAAGATGACACTTGAGAGAAGTCAAACTCTTTTTGAAACACATGGACAAATGAGACAAACGCCAAATGTACTAGTACATGCAAGTTGGTATGTGCTTGGAATGACGTGAAACTCGGTTGAGACATAAAAAATGACGTCACAACCACTACCCATCACTTTACCGTGGTATATGATGAATTTCGGTCAAATTCCAATATTTAGGTCTTCAATTTCACGATTTTACAATTTTTTAAAAAATGATTGGTTTGTTAATTACTCGGTATAGATGAATCGATTTGAGGTTAGATTTTTTTTCAAAATAAATAATTTTTATTATAGTTTCAAGAATTGAGCTTAACTCAAATATTTATTATTTTGGTAATTTTCACACACACACACACACACACACATATTTATTTAGGCTTGATTAGCAACCGTTATTTTTTCTAGCTCATTTCTTATTTTAATTTGGGCATGTTATATTATAAATAATGATTGTAAGCTTTAGGGCATGATAATTTTTTTTTGAAGAATTAATATATTTTTAAAAGAATATATGTGTTATTAAATTCGTAATTTTTCCTTATATTTGAATTTCATTCCATTTATCTTCTTTGCATCACTTTTTCTTCCTATTCGTAGCTTCCAATTTATATCGTGCTTATGCTTTGCGTGATTTTATTTGCACTCAAATAATAACTCAGTATGTCTAATTAAAATTTTAAAATTTTATTTCCTATTATATTTTAATATAAATTTACTAATAAGGACAAATTAAACTCAACTAATTTTTTTTTCTCTTGGTACACCCTAATCTCTTATACGCATTCAATTTGAGAGGATTTTAGGGTTTATGGAAGAACTGGGTTCTATGGCCAAGAAGTTTCAAAAATTTGAAGAGCATGTAAATCCATTCTCTTTTGGCTAAAATTTCAATTAATATCTTATTTAATTTGCAAAACTTTACACCATATAAGATCTGCTATTGTTAAAGCTGTAGGACAATCTTCCAGGATGAAATGATCTACCACAAACAATAGCAGCACTACTAATTGTTTGCCTTACGAACACACTAAGTGTTTAAAAGCTTCTTCACCAATCCACCATAATCTCTATTTCATTCGAATCCTCCGATTTTCAACATCATCACCATCAATACTCGAAACCATTATTTTCATATCAAATGGTTTTTTTTTCTTTCCCCGAACCTTCTAGACAATATACTGTGAGAAAGCAAATATGGCAAAAGGCACAAGAAACATAAACTAAAAAAAACTCTACAACAACATGTATACAAGATGAAAGCAACTCCTGAAATTTAATTTGCTAATCAAGTAACTTTTTTCGCTGACAGTTTTGCAGAAAGATGCATAGAACATGTTAAGTAGTATTGAGGGCTTATGTGAAGGACACAGAATTCGGTGCGTCAATTGTGAACAAAATAATAGGTGTAATCAATCCTATTTAAGGAGTTTTGAAAGTCGTGTAATTTAAGGTTTTTGATTTGTTTATTATTTGGGTGTACTATAAATTATGATTTTATATTGAAGGGTAATTGTGAAAAAAATATAGGACATATTGACAATAAATTATAACCTTAAATAATTTAATAAAGAGTATTGAAAAATTGGGCGTATTGAATAGTTTTTTATGTGTAAATAGAATCCCCCTTATACTTTTTAGTGTTTCTTGCCAATTTCTTTTAACAGCTCATCTTTCCTCTAGTCTGCTAATTCATTTGGAGGATTCATTTAAGAGATTGTGGATTTACTTGAAATAAGTCTTTAGTATGTGTATCTCTATTTTTTCGTGTCTCCTTTCAGAAGTTTGAAAGAAGCCCTACAGTTCGGACTCCAGCAGTTCTGAATTTAATCTCGCAAGTGCAATGTGAAATTGATAAACACCAAAGAGTCTAAATTTGGCAAATCTTTTAAAAAATCGATTTTGAATCAAATTGCCAAAATTGGACTGTTTTGGCAAATACAGAGTCGCCACCTAAATATTTTATTTTGGAAAAATTTAGGAACCCCATGACTCGTGCCAAAGGCCACGTGTCTGTCATCACCAAGATTGTCTTGGCTCGGAAACTTAGGTACGAGAGGGGAAGGTCAAGAATTGAGCACCCCTCGCTCGCCCGATCAAAGATTGGCCTCTACTAATCATGATATGATTTTTATCAACATCATATGCTCTTGTTCCAGTTTATTAGGCTAGCATTTACTATGTGATGTGCGCACACAAGGTATAGACTAGTTTGTCCGAATTGGAACAATTCAATTTCATGTTTGTTTTCCAAAAAGGGTTTGATTTTGCCACTTAACAAAGTGGGCTTAAAGTTTGTGAATTTTCCACTCGACAAAGTGGGCTTAAACGTACATTTATTGAATCGTTCCAATTCAAACAACAAGCCTTTATCCACAGGCACTCAAACAGTTTAATAAGTAAGCACTTAGCCTCATGGCAATCATGCAGTCATGACAGTCACTCACACTTATGCAAGTATGCTAAGGCACTAAAAACTCACCTAGTACTCCAAGCTAAGATAAAACAAAAGAGTTAAAAAAATATGCATGATACCTAACTATACAAGATGGCTAATGCAATGCATGCAAAAATGCAACTAAAATAGGCTCGGCTACTTAACATATTATTTGCAACAATTTCATAGCACGTGTTTAAACACGTATTCAACGAGGTAACAAACGACAATGCAAGTTTGAATGATGAACCGAGCCTTGGTGTATGCGAGACAAATGAATGAATGCAATCATGCGATATGCTAATTGAAACGTGATGCCCCTAACCTAACCATCAAACGTGGATAAATAAAAAGGAGAAAGACGTGGGGTTAGATGACATACACATTATTACAACATTGATGCCCTCGCGCAGGAGGGTCTGAATG